AGCCCAGCAAGCTCCTGAGAGTATCCTGCCCGCACGGCAGAGCCTGGCAAGCTCCTTGTGGCGTATTCGAGATGCCAAAAACAGGAACCAGGATGGGGCTCATTCCCCTGACCCTAAAAGAGCCTCCAATACGGCAGCGTTGGGAAGGACGAGTACGGAGAGGCTGCTAAAATCTCAGGGCTGGGACGGATGGAGACGTTACTGGCGCCCGCTCGAGCAAATTGATGAACAACGGGATGACAGTGATACAGTGGTGTCCGTTTTGGGGCACACCTGCCCGTGCATAGGGCTCACTCCTGGCGAGGAGGAGAGGGGAGCTGAGTCAGCAGGAGGCAAAGGTCACCAGCTCTCTGGCCCCAAGTGCAAGTTGTTTTGCATTGGCCATGATGCAACGGAGTCCAAACCTTCATGGGCCAGGACTCAAAGCCATGACTCATTCTCAGATGCGGAACACTGGGATTGGAGCCAACGGCTTTGCTGCCTTGACTTGTGTTTCGAAACTGGGGAGGAGATAATCCAAGTTTCTGCTGTTCCCACTGATAAGCGCCCAAGTGAAGTTGATGAATCGACTTGACAGTTTGGTGTTCAGGACTTAGCACTGTCGCAGTGTCCTCCCGTTGTTCATCGATTTGCTCGAGCGGGCACCAGTAACGTCTCCATGGTGAGACCTGTTGTGACTGTGTTTGGCATCTCGAAGACGCCACGGGGAGCTTGCCAGGCTCTTTGAGTGGGATGGAGGAATCGAACCTGGGTCGGCTGGGTGCAAGGTAGAAACACCCTACCCGCTGTGCTATCGCTCCAGCCTGTCCAGGACTTAATGGAATGAAAAAGGAACAGCAACAACAAAAAAAAAAACCACCACAGGCTTGTTGTGTCCGAGTGAAGCAAAGTATCTAAGAACGATCAGATTTATTTAGGTCAGATTTTACCATTGCTGTGGGTAGTTTGTAGAAATGCGTCACTGTCCTCCCGTTGTTCATCAACTTGCTCGAGCGGGCCCAGTAACATTGTGAGACTTGTGGCTGTGTTTGGCATCTCGAAGACGCCACGGGGAGCTTGCCAGGCTCTGCCATGCGGGCGAGATACTCTCGGTAGCTTGCCGGGCTCTCCGAGAGGGGCGGAGGAATCGAACTTGGGTTGGCCAGGTCGGCCGCATGCAAGGCAAAATTTATTTTGGAGTTTGGTTTTAACCACACCTGCTGGTGCTCAGGGGCTACTCCTGGCTCTGCACTCAGGAATTACTCCTGGCAGTGCTCGGAGGACCTTATGGGATGCCGGAGATCGAACCCGGGTCAGTCGTGTGCAAGGCAAACGCCCTCCCCGCTGTGCTATCGCTCCAGCCCCCAAATGTGATGCATGTTGAACCATTTCTCTGGCCCTTGTTTTAGCTCCTTTAGTGGTTTCCAGTGTAGCCCAGTAGAAATCAGGGGGCTGGGGAGATGGCGCAGGTGTGAAGCTCCTTGCCTTTTAGATGGTTCCCTCCACGTGATCCCCAGCCACGTGAGCGACCCCTTGAACACAGAGCCAGGAGTAGCTCCTAAGTACCACCGGGTGTGGCCCCCATGTCCTCGTACCCCTCCTGAATTTATTTATTTATTTATTTTGCTTTTTCGGTCCCACCTGGCAATGCTCAGGGGTCACTCCTGGCAGTCCTCGGGGGACCCTATGGGATGCCGAGGATCGAACCTGGTTCAGCCGTGTGCAAGACCAACACCTTCCCCGCTGTGCTATCGCTCCAGACCCCCAGACAAGGATTCTGATGCATCATGACACCAGCGTCCATGGCCATGTCCTTGGGACTGAGCCCCTGGGTGGCGAGTGTGGAGGACCTGGAAGAAGGACCCGCAGGCTTGGTTGTGTTAGCCCTGCAGGGGGGGCCTTGGGGAGAAGCATTCAGAAACAGACCCTTCTCCTTTGGGACCCCCGGGACATTCTTTTTTTTTTTCCTGGCCTTTTGGGTCACACCCAACAGTGCTCAAGGGTTCCTCCTGGCTCTGCACTCAGGAATCACTCCTGGCGGTGCTTGGGGGACCCTATGGGATGCTGGGAATCGAATCTGGGTCGGCCACATGCAAGGCAAACGCCCTCCCCGCTGTGCTATCGCTCCAGCCCCCTTCTCCCTCCTTAATTTCTCTCTTCCTCCCTCTCCCTCTTCCTTCCCTCCCTCCCTTTCTCTCATCTATTATTATTATTATTATTGCTTTTTGGGTCAGACCTGGAGGTGCTCAGGGGTTCCTCCTGGCTCTGCACTCAGGAATCACTCCTGGCGGTGCTCGGGGGACCCTCTGGGATGCTGGGAATTGAACCGGATGCCTGCAAGGCAAACTCCCTACCTGCTGTGCTATCTCTCCATTCCCCACCCCACCCCCACCTGAATTTAGCATGCATTCTTTGATAATGTTCTTACCTCCCCTCCCTCCCCATATATATATATATATATATTTAAAGACTTTATTGCTTGGGTCACACCCAGCGATGCACAGGGGTTCCTCCTGGTTCATGCACTCAGGAATTACTCCTGGTCGTGCTGGGGGACCATATGAGATGCTGGGAATTGAACCCAGGTCAGTTTGTGTGCAAGGCAAACGCCCTACCTGCTGTGCTATCACTCCAGCCCCCCATATATTTTTTAATTACTCCGTAAGCTTCCTGAATGTAAGAACAAGCTTTCGGTTTGGTTTGGGAGTCATACTAGGTTATGTCAGGATCCAGCTTGGGTTCTTTCACATTCAACACCTATATTCACCCCAGGCAGCCAAGCTCTTGAGTCTTGAGTCTGTACTGTCGCGCTCCAGTAACGGCTCCATTTGTCCCTGTTGCCTGCTAGTGCAGCCCAATGGCATCTGCTCGCTCCAGGAGCACGAAGTGAGACTTGTTGTGACTGTTTTTGGCATATCGAATACGCCACAGGTAGTTTGCCAGACTCTGCTGTGTGGGCGGGACACTCTCGGTAGCTTGCTGGGCACTCCGAGAGGGACAGAGGAATCGAACCTGCGACAGCCGCGTAAGAGGCAAACGCCCTACCCGCTGTGCTATCACTCCAGCCCTACTATTGCTCCTGCCCAAGGCAGTCGGTAAAGTGTATTTTTTTTTATATATTTCTTGACCTCTTCCTTGCCAGATACAGATCTATGTATATATAATTAAATGTTGGAACAAATACTCATTATATTCATTTACTGATCATTCATTGATCATTTTGTGGTGGCGATAGCAATAAATTGATCATTTATTGATCATTTTGTAGTGGCGATAGCACAGCAGGTAGGGCGTTCGCCTTACAAGCGGCCAACATGGCCGACCCGAGTTCGATTCCTCCGCCCCCTCGGAGAGCCCGGCAAGCTACCGAGAGTATTCGATATGCCAGACACAGTAACAACAAAGTCTCCAATGGAGATGTTACTGGGCCCGCTCGAGCAAATCGATGATCAACGGGAGGGCCTTTACTTTACTTATTGATCATTCACAGGATCGATATGATCCACAAATATTACATTCATTTATTCATCAAAAAATGTTTGGATAGGGCTGGAGCGATAGCACAGCGGGTAGGGCGTTTGCCTTGCACGCGGCCGACCCGGGTTCGATTCCCAGCATCCCATAGGGTCCCCCGGGCACCGCCAGGGGTAATTCCTGAGTGCATGAACCAGGAGGAACCCCTGTGCATTGCCCGGTGGGACCCAAAAAGCCAAAACCCACGCGCCGGAGCAACTGCACGCACGTGCCAACCCGGGTTCGATGCCCAGTGTCCCCCTAGGGCGTTCCCCCCCAACAAAACCCAATCGAGGTTTTTTGCAAAAAGAACCTCCCGGTGAGCAAAATGCAAGGGACGTCGCACGGGGGCCCCGAACTCGCGACCCCGCGATCATGGACTTGCAGCGGCCTTTCTGCGCCCCTGGGCTGAGCCGGGAATGCGGCTCGCCTCACGCATGCGCCGTGCGGCGCCGGGCGGCGGTTGCTGGAGGGGCGGAGGAGGGGGGAAGAGGGCGGTTGCGCGTGAGCAGTGGCGGCGGCCCGCGCCGTTCCGCCTCCGTCTCCGCTCCGCCACGCCCCTCGGCCACCCCTCCCTTCCGTTCCGCTTTGCCTCCAGCCCTTCCACCCGCTCCGCGTTTCGAGGCATCAGGCGTGCCAAAGAGCTCCTGAGAGAGCCGCCGAGGAGCGCGAGTGTGTGTGTGTCTGTGTGTGTGTGTGTGCATGCGTGAACAACGGGCGCGGCGGCGTGTGTGCCGCGTCCGAAGTCGTCCCCACTCCCCGCTTTCCTTTCCCTTCCCCCGCCCCGCCCCTTCCGCCGCTCGCGCAGGCGCAGGCGCACGGGCCCGCCCCCGGCGCGTGGGGATTGGCCGCGGCGGGAGGCCCGGCGCGTCTTGATTGTCTCGGCTCCTTCCGGGCCCCGCCCCTTCCGCCGTTCGCGCAGGCGCAGGCGCACGGGCCCGCCCCCGGCGCGTGGGGATTGGCCGCGGCGGGAGGCCCGGCGCGTCTTGATTGTCTCGGCTCCTTCCGGGCCCCGCCCCTTCCGCCGTTCGCGCAGGCGCAGCCGCACGGGCCCGCCCCCGGCGCGTGTGGATTGGCCGCGGCGGGAGGCCCGGCGCGTCTTGATTGTCTCGGCTCCATCCGGGCCCCGCCCCTTCCGCCGTTCGCGCAGGCGCAGGCGCACGGGCCCGCCCCCCGGCGCGTGGGGATTGGCTGCGGCGGGAGGCCCGGCGCGTCTTGATTGTCTCGGCTCCATCTGGGCCCCGCCCCTTCCGCCGTTCGCGCAGGCGCAGCCGCACGGGCCCGCCCCCGGCGCGTGGGGATTGGCCGCGGCGGGAGGCCCGGCGCGTCCTGATTGGCCGCGGCGGGGAGACCGGCGCGCTCTGATTGGCTGCGGTGGAGCCCCGGGCGGCTGCGGCGGCGGCGGCGGCGGCGGCCTGGGGAGCGGTCGCGGCTTCTGCTTCTTTTTTCCCGACTTTCGGCCGCGGCGGGCGGCGGCCCGAAGGCCACTGAGGACCGCAGCCAAGCCCCCCGCCCCGAAAAGCCAAAGCCAAGCCAAAGCGCCCCCGAGCGGCCCCGCCCGCTTCCTTCCGGGGCGCGGCGGCCGCGGCGATGCTCTGAGGGCGGCGGCCGCGCGGGCCCCGCCGGCCTCGCCATGTCCGGCAGCCGCCAGGCCGCGGCGGGCTCGGCCGGGACCAGCCCCGGCTCGTCGGCCGCGTCCTCGGTCACTTCCGCCTCGTCCTCGCTCGCCTCGTCGCCCTCGCCCCCCGCCCCCGCCGCCGCCGCCGCCGCCGCCGCCTCCGCGCTGGGTCCGGGCGCGCCGGCGCGGCCCGTGCTGGTGGCGCCCGCCGTGTCGGGGAGCGGCGGCGGCGGCGGCGGCGGCGGGGCGGTGTCGGCCGGTCCGGCCCGGCCCAGCTGCGCGGCCCGGCCCGGCGGCGGCGGCGGCGGCGGCGGCGGCAGGAAGCGGCCGCTCCTGGCGCCCCTGTGCAACGGGCTGCTCAACTCCTACGAGGACAAGAGCAACGACTTTGTGTGGTGAGTCCGCGGGGGAGGGGCCGTCCCGGTCTCGGTGCACGCCCCGGTCCCGGTGCACGTCCCGGTTCCGGTGCACGACCCGGTTCCGGTGCACGTCCAGGTCTTGGTGCACGCCCAGGTCTTGGTGCACGCCGAGGTCCCGGTGCACGTCCCGGTCCCGGTGCACGGCCCGGTCCCGGTGCACGACCCGGTCCCGGTGCACGACCCGGTCCCGGTGCACGTCCCGGTCCCGGTGCACGACCCGGTCCCGGTGCACGCCGAGGCCCCGGTGCACGCCGAGATCCCGGTGCATGTCCCGGTCCCGTTGCACGCCCAGGTCCCGGTGCATGTCCCGGTCCTGGTGGTGCACATCCCGGGTCTCGGTGCACGCCGAGATCCCGGTGCACGCCCAGGTTCTGGTGCACGCCGAGGTCCCGGTGCACGTCCCGGTCCCGGTGCACGCCGAGGCCCCGGTGCACGACCCGGTCCCGGTGCACGCCGAGGCCCTGGTGCACGACCCGGTCCCGGTGCACGCCCAGGTCTTGGTGCACGCCGGGGCCCCGGTGCATGTCCCGGTCCCGGTGCACGACCGGTCCCCGGTGCACGACCCGGTCCCGGTGCACGCCGAGGTTCTGGTGCACGCCGAGATCCCGGTGCATGTCCCGGTCCCGGTGGTGCACATCCCGGGTGTCGGCGCACGCCCGGGTCTCGGTGCACGCCCCGGTCCCCAGTACACGACCCGGTTCCGGTGCACGCCGAGGCCCCGGTGCATGTCCCGGTTCCGGTGCACGCCAAGGTCCCGGTGCACGCCGAGGCCCCGGTGCAGGTCCCGGTGCACGCCCAGGTCTTGGTGCGCGCCGCGGTGATGCGAGGGGCGTGAGAGCGACCCCGGCTCGCTTGGGCGCGGGTAGCGTGCAGCGTCCAGGGGCCCCAGTGAAAGTGACCTGGTGAGTTTCACTCACGGGGACCTGGCGGGCGCCCTGCTCTGCCTTGCAAGTCTGGGGTCGATTTTTATTTTTATTTATTTACTATCATTATTATTGTTCTTTGGCATTTTGGGTCACACCTGGCGATGCTCAGGGGTTCCTCCTGGCGCATGCACTCAGGAATCACTCCTGACGGTGCTCGGGGGACCCTATGGGATGCCGGGAATCGAACCCGGGTCAGCCAGCCGTGTGCCAGGCCAACGCCCTCCCCGCTGTGCTGTCGCTCCAGCCGCTGGGGTCGATTTTGAAGGCCTGTCTGGCGTGGGGATTCCTCTCTTACCCGCCCGCCCTACACCCCCAAACCAAAAAAATCTGGGCACTGGGAATTTGCACCCTTCAGCTGCGGGGGAGCTGGGTTTGTTGCAATAAACATTCCCCAGGTGCCCACGGCCTGGGGGACCCCAGCATCTTGGCCTCGGTGGGCCCAGAAGTGCTCGTGGCAGGTTCCCCAGCTCCTCCACGGATGGACAAGGGGCGGTAGGGACCCTGCTGGGGGTGTTTGGGGCTCGGGTGGCTTGTGTGTGTCTGTGTGTGTCTGTGTGTGTCTGTGTGGGGTTTTTTTTTTTGCTTTTTGGGGTCACGCCCCGCGATGCTCAGGGCTGACTCCTGGCTCTGCACTCAGGAATCACTCCTGGCAGTGCTCGGGGGGCCTTATGGGGATGCGGGGGATCGAACCCGGGTCGGCCGCGTGCCAGGCCAATGCCCTCCCCACTGTGCAATTGCTCCAACCCCTTGAAGTCTTTTTTTGTTGTTGTTGTCATTGTTGTTTTTACTTTCTGGGTCCCACCTGGGGATGCTCAGGGGTTCCTCCTGGCTCTGCACTCAGGAATCACTCCTGGCGGTGCTCGGGGGACCCTATAGGATGCCGGGGATCGAACCCAGGTCGTCCACCTGCGAGGCCAACACCCTCCCCACCGGCCTGTCGCTCAGTGGGGTTTGCAATCCAGCCCCTGTCCCGATGCCGACTCGAGTTGGCCGCGCTCCTGGGAGCCCACCCTGCGTTGGGGGGGTTTTGCCCCTGGAGGAAATTGTTTCGGGCCGTGGTCTCCGGGCACGGGGAAAGTCGGTCTGTCCTGTCCCTCTTGGGGACCTTGTTTTCTCCTATCACCGGGCGGAGGCGTTAACCTAGAATAGGGCTGAAGTCCGGCGGGGGAAAGTTGATTGGATTGAGTTTGTAGTAGCTGCCAACCAGAAAGTGTCTTTTCTTTTAAGCTCTTGGCTTTGAAGGTTTTTTTTTTTCTCTCTCCATTCGGAACCAGCCCGTTTCTCGGGGATGCTCTGGCGGGGCCTTAATCATGCTTGTTCCTTGTAAATAAAGCAGCAAAGCAGCTTGTGGTTGGGACTTAAGCGGTCTTTTCTCCTCCGTCAGGGCATGTTATAGGATAAAATAGAAGCGCAGAAAAGTGAAGGGGCCGGAGCCGTAGCACCGCGGGGAGGGCGCTTGCCTGGCACACGGCTGACCCTGTTTTGATCCTCGGCATCCCATAGGGTCCCCCGAGCACCGCCAAGCGTGACTCCTGAGTGCGGAGCCAGGAGTCAGCCCTGAGCATCGCCAGGTGTGGCCCCAGCGTTTCGACATGCAGGAGATTGAAAGCAAACAAACACGAGCATCCATAAAGATGCAGTGAAATAGTGTAGAAGAGGTGGAGTGCGGCACACTTGTCATCCACCTGGCAGTCCTCCCTGGAGTTTCATTGCCTACATTTACCATACGCTGTTTTGGAGGGAAAAGTAGAAGCAAATGGCACCGGGTTTTTTTTTTTTTTTTTTTGGACACGATTATTAGTGTGACTGTATCACATTGTTTCTTAGTTGGGGGCCATCAGGCCTCTTGTAACCCCCCGGGTATTGCATGGGTACCTGTTACTGTTACTGTCTTCCCCTTGTTCATGGATTTGCTCCAGTGGGTGAGATACTCTCGGTAGCTTGCTGGGCACTCCAAGAGGGGCGGAGGAATCGAACTCTTGGCTGAATGCAAGGCAAATGCCCTACCCGCTGGGCTATGGCTCCAGTCCCACAGGTGAGAATTGTCAAGGGTCGGAGGTTAGCAGGAAAGAAGTCGTAGGAAAGGAACCACGGTCAGAAAAAGTTTGAACAACATCGGTATCGATAATTCTGGGTGTGTGTGTTCTGAGGGGGTCCAGTGAGTCTCGAAAGATGCTAAATACTTTCTGAGAATCACATTGGTCCTTCTCCCCACCCCGTCCCCCTTCCCTGATGGGCCTGGTTGAGTTTTTTCAGAATTCTTCCGTGCAGATCTGTTTCCCCCAATTTCCAAGCTAAATTCGATTTGGATAAACTTTTGCAGGTAAGATAAGAGACGAGGCCAGGCCCCAGCCAGCCTTTCCGTTTCTAACGGACCTTGGCTCATTGATCTTGTGGACATTAAGGTCATACTGTGGACAATTCCAAATTCCTCGATGCCTTTCCGTCTCAATGAGGGCGATGTTTGAATAATGGTGGTGGTGGTGACTTCTTTTTATTTCTTGCTTTTTTGGGTCCCACCCGGCTATACTCAGGGGTTCCTCCTGGCTCTTCACTCAGGAATTACTCCTGGCGGTGCTCAGGGGACCCTGTGGGATGCTGGGAATCGAACCCGGGTCAGCCACGCACCAGGCAACGCCCTCCCCGCTGTGCTATCGCTCCAGCCCTGAATAATGGTGGTGGTGACTTCTTTTTCTTTCTTGCTTTTTTGGGTCCCACCCGGCGTTGCTCAGGAGTTCCTCCTGGCTCTTCACTCAGGAATTACTCCTGGCTGTGCTCGGAGGACCCTATATGGGATGCTGGGAATCAAACCTGGCAGCGTGCAAGGCAAACGCCCTCCTGCTGTGCTATTGCTCTGGCCCCATTTTCTGGGTTCTGGGTGACACCAGCTATGCTCAGGACTCACTCCTGGTGGTGCTCAAGTGTATGTTAGAGCCAGGACGAAAATAGGATCAGCCCATTGCCCCCTGTGCACATAGTTCATTTTACCCTTCGAATAATTCTTTGAAGTTCCGTAGAACATCCAGTGTCAACATCATGCTGACAAAGTTCTTGTCCCATAAAGATAGAAAAAAAGACACTTTTTCCCCACCTAGAACAGCTGAGGGTAGAAATGTGGGCATGAAACCCTCCAAGCCCCCGTTTAATGCTTTCTCGGGGTGGAACGAGATAGTGCCCGGCGTCTTGTGTGGGAAGACCGCTGCTTCCTAGTTACTTGAGCCTCGTCGTCGTACTCGCCCCTGTGTCCCCCAGAGCACTTGTGGGACTTGGAGACCGGGTGGGCTGCGTCGGTTGCAGATTCTTCCCTGCTGGTGATGGTATCGTGATCCTGTCATGGAGCACTGGAGCACTGTCCTCCCGTTATTCATCGTTATTCGAGCGGCTCAGTAACGCCTCCCTTGTGAGACTTGTCGTTACTGTGTTTGGCATCTCGAATATACCATGGGGAGCTTGCCAGGCTCTGCCGTGCAGGCGAGATACTCTCGGTAGCTTGCCGGGTTCTCCGAGAGGGACGGAGGAATCGAACTCGTGTCTGCCGGGTCGGCCTCGCGCAAGGCAAATGCCCTGCGCTGTGCTCTCGCTCCAGCCCAGACCTGCCTTAAAGTCAGACGCCCCATTTTCAGTATCATGCATTGCTCTCTCTTGATTTATTTAGTTGCAGAACTGATAGGAGTTTTAGGGGTTTGTGGTTTTACTTTAGTATGACCACTGGAATTATTGTCAAGTTGTTGTTAGTTTTTTTTTTTTTGATCATACCATAATTTTTTAATTACAGTTTTTTAAAGGAATCAGTGGGAAAAGTAGACAATATTTGCAAGACCATGTGAACAGAGATAGAAAGTCAAAAAAAAATTAACAAGAAATGCACGAACACAAGTTGTTGTTAGTTTTAACATTTTAATCAAAGATCTTTTTGTCTGTATCATAGAGTGTATTGAACTTAAACTTGAATAAGTCTTTGATATGAGAAAGTCATCTTTTTACCCAAAGATCATTTCTTTTACACGATCACCTAACTCCTGTCTCCTCGTTAGCTTTGTCGTCAGTCTGAAATCATCTTTCCTGCAACCCCCAGTCATTTTCTCGAGCAGAAAGAAGTAGTTCTGAGTCACTTGTAAGGCCTCGTGGGAAAGTGCTTCTCATCTTCCTGATAGGCTGACCTGCATTCATCGACGTAGCCCCTAATAAATCAGCGGCTGCTCGCTCCTGTCAAGCTATTAATCAAACGAGGCTCTTTTCCGAGGGCCTCATGATTCCACGTGAAGAGAGACTTTGGTCACACCGTCGCTCCATCCTGGCATCCGCTTTTCTTAGGCCGGCGGCAGATGCGAAGGGCCCTTCCGAACTCACTTGTCACAGACTTAAGCATCTCACGGGGTGGACGTCACCCTTCGTCGTTTGTAGGCCTAAGAAGGAAGCCCGCCAGCTGTTCCTTGCTTTTCTAACCATCTCCACAAGCTGCCAAAGAGTGAAGTAGAACGGGAGGGAGCATCGAACCTGCCACAGTAAGAAAAATTGAGGGAGACTTGCCGACAGCCTTAGACATCACTTTTGCATGATGTGTGTCTGACGGGTCTCAGGGTGAAAACTATTTTGCTTTTGTTTTTTTTCCTTTTTGGGTCACACTCGGCAATGCACAGGGGTTGCTCCTGGCTCATGCACTCGGGACTCACTCCTGGCGGTGCTCGGGGGACCCTAGGGGATGCTGGGAATCGAACCCGGGTCGGCCGCGTGCAAGGCAAACGCCCTCCCCGCTGTGCGATCGCTCCAGCCTCGTGAAAACTCTTTTGAAAGTTCTGAAGTATGGGATATGACCCTCCCTGTGTTAGTTGCTAAAAGTCAGTTGAAAATCTGATTGGCCTTTTGGGACCCGTGGGAGCTGATGCATCGTGCTCGGTGGAGTGCTTGGCTTGGCTTTTGGATTTGGCGCTGCACCTGGTGTTGCCAGGAATTGGATCTCGGTCCCAGTGCAAAGAGTGGGCTCAGCCTCTTGCGGCTCTCCCCGGCCCCGTGTGGACTGTGAAGGCAAAGTCAGTACCGAAAGAAACTTCTGAGTCCCGCAGACTGTGAGAACACCACCCAGGAAGTTCCTTGAAACTCCGTAACTAACCTTGTGATCATTCTTTCGCTTCACGCTGAGGAAGATGATGCAGCATCCACAAGTTTCATTGGGTTCTGGCGATCAATTCAGTGGCGGGTCATTAAGCGTTATTGTCAGAAGACTCGGGGTATCAAGTGGTCGAGAACAGAAAGCGGGTGCTTCTGAAGCCGAATAGGGAAGCCGGTTGAATTCTTGTCTGTAAGTTGAGAGGAAGGTGCTCGTGCGGGTTAGGGTTCATTACCCAAGAATGGGCTCATTCCTAGCTACCCCGCCCCTCGTGCTCCGAACTGATAATGGGCCTTATTTAGATTGTTGATCAGATTCCTCTAAGAACTTCTGTGATTAACTACTTCTAACTACTTCCTTAAACCTTGTTACTCTAGACGGCAGCTTCTTAGTTTGAATCATTATTTCAGCCTTATGTAACCCTTTCCCCAGAAGACTTCTAAAGTTTGGGGTTCCTCTTGGCTCTGCACTCAGGAATCGCTCCTGGCGGTGCTCGGGGGACCCTATGGGGTGCTGGGAATCGAACCTGGGTCTGTGTGTGCCAGGCCAACGCCCTCCCTGCTGTGCTCTCGCTCCAGCCCAGACTTCTAAAGTTTGGAAGGATTTGACAGAGGAATTAATCATTTCTGTTAATGGTGGTATTGTACGTAATAAAATATTTCTAAAAAACGCCTAATTTTGTTTGGCAATCTAAAAAGCCCTTGTTTTTCCCCCATCTTCGCCTTCCCCTTGTCCTCCTTTCTTCCCCGTTCCCTCTTTCACCGCCTCCTCTCTCTCTTTCCACGCTGAGAGAACGGCCCGTCTTCTCATCATACCCTCACCTGCATTAACTGGCCTTTCAATTTTCCTAATTTAGTTTATATGTAGAGAAAGGGGCATTGTTACTGATTGGTAGGGATAAAAATTGTGTTTTTGATTTTACGGTTTGGATCCCGTATTTGTCTTTGTTGTGTGTTTTATCCAGGGGAACCGTTTTTCTAAATCAAAAGAGTACATGAGGTAATTAACGGTGATATTGGTGAAAGAACAGGTAGACACGGTGTAATGGGAACGGCATAGGGCACCCAGACATAAATGTGGTCAGTTGTTCTTTGTCAAAGGAACAGAGCCAATACAGTGAAGGAAAGAGTTTTTTCTAAAAATGTGGCTAGATCAGCTGGATGTCTGTGTACAGAAAGATAAATCTAGACCCAGACACTTCGGAAAAATTATCTCCAAATGGTTTGCTGATCCCTTCTTATACAAATACTAAAAGGATCACTGAGCAAAAAGGGTTTGATTTTTTTTTTTTTTACATTTTTGTTCTGTGAAAGACATTGTCAAGAGAATGGAAAAATGAGCTGTGGGTTTGAAGAAAATGTTTGCAAAAGGTATACCCGTAAGGACTTATCTAAAATACACACACACACACACACAAACCTCGATTGCATGAGAACAACTTGATTAAAAGTGAACCGAAGATCTCAGCCCAAGAAGATAATAGCTGGTGAATTGGGCTATTGAAAAATCCGTATCATGTCAGCAGGGAACTACCAGTCAAAACTCAAGTGGGATCCAGCCCCTGTTGGCCCAGTCAGTGCAAAGCAAGTGTCCTACCCACTGAACTGTTCTTCAGCTTTGGATTCATTTTATTTGATGTCAGAAATAAAATGCAGAGAGGCTGTCAGATGTGAGATTTAGCTGAGAACTCCAAAGTTCTGCCATTGTTGATTATTCTTTTAAAAAGGGGGCAAATTACAATATTAGGGCCATTTGAATCAATTCCTTTAATTGATTTTTAGAATTTGGTTGTTTGGACAAGTTTTTACTAGTAAAATTCCCCAAAATTCATCTTGCTCGAAGAAATGTGCTCTTTTGGGGGGGGAGAGGGGTGGTCACACGCGATGATGCTGAGGGGTTACTCCTGGCTCTGCACTCAGGAATTACTCCTGGTCTTGCTCAGGGATCATCTGGAATGCCAGGGACCGAACCCAGGCCGGCCGGGTGCAAGGCACATACCCCGCCTGCTGTCCTATGCCTTCATCCCCAGAGATGCCCTCTTTTATTCATGGAAGGTTGAGGATCCTTCGCTGCTGTGTACTGAATGATTGTGTTGGTGTTGGTATTGGTCTTTCTCAGTTTGTAAGCACTCGAAAAAAGTTACTGATCATTTTCCTGTTTTCTATTTTCTTTTTAGCCCCATCTGTTTTGATATGATTGAGGAAGCATACATGACGAAATGTGGCCACAGCTTTTGGTAAGATGATTCTGTTTTGTGAAATAGTCTTGTACACACATGTAGTCAGTGAGGTTATGTTTTTAAGACTCATTGTTATTATCCTGCAAATTGTGTTATTCCTTTACCTAGTGAAACTGTTTTCTTTCTTTTTTAAAAAAAAATTTTTTTTTTTTTTTGCTTTTTGGGAACACCGGCAATGCACAGGGGTTGCTCCTGGCTCTGCACTCAGGAATGACTCCTGGCGGTGCTCAGGGGTACCATATGGGATGCTGGGGATCGAACCCAGGTTAGCTATGTACAAAGCAACCGCCCTCCCCAGTCCCGAAACTGCTTCTGAGGACTGTTGAGGATCAAACCACATTGTGTAGGCTTCCCTTCCCTGAGGCTCACTCCTGGTGTTGACTGTGACAGAACCTTAACATTGACAGGATAGTAAGTTTACAGCAGGGAACCGGCCTGCTAAATACTTAGGTTTACGTAAACCTTTTAGAGGAAATTGTGGGGTGCTGGGTTAATGAGAGAAAAGCATGAAAGGACCCTGAACTCTCTGGCAGGATCTGTCAGGGGCTCCATTGAGCTGATTCAGAGTCGGAAAAGGACGGAAAGGATGGAAAACTCCGCTCTCTTCTTTCGTGCTTGGCTTGATGTTATCTTTAAACTACGGCATGCCACAATTTGTGTATTTAGCATTGTAGCTGCTGGAAAATCTACATGAAACAGAACTGACCGTTTTTAAGTCGGGTCGTGTTTTCTAAGTATATTCACATTGTTTTGCAAGGTGTCTGTGGATCGCTTTTATTTCGCAAAATTGAAGCTGTGCTTTTCATTTCCGCAGTGCCGGTCTCTGTCCATCCTCCGTTCTACGTGCTCTTTCTACAGATTTAACTATTCTAAAACGTGAGGTGCTAGTGTGGAGGGAATAGAGCTGTCTGTTTGTCCGTCGGGGGACATTTCCTTGGCCTCCTTATTAACCCTTGTTAATATGCTGCTTTGAATATGGGTGTATGAATATCTCTTTAGACCCTGCTTTTGCTTTTACTTTTTGAGGGTTATATCCAGGAACAATTGCTGGATTTTTTTTTTTTTTTTGCTTTTTGGGTCACACCGGCAGTGCACAGGGGTTGCTCCTGGCTCTGCACTCAGAAATTACTCCTGGCGGTGCTCAGGCGACCCTATGGGATGCTGGGAATCGAACCCGGGTCGGCCCAAGGCAAGCGCCCTACCTGCTGTGCTATCGCTCCAGCCCCACGATTGCTGGATTTTAACACTGATGATAACACGTTTTTTGTTTCAGCTGCTCTCTACGGTTTCACTACTATTTTACATAGGCAGTTTTTATAATTATTTCTTCACCAACACTGTTTTTAATAACAGTAATCATCCTAATGGTTATGTGATCTGATACCGATTTTTAATTCCTTTTTCTTATTTGGTTTGTGGTTGGTATATTCTATTTGTAATTAAACGTTATAAATTAGTCTTTTGGTATATTACTTTAGCCTTAGTGTGTTTTTTTTTTTTAATTCCTCTAGTTTGGGTCACACCCAGTGGTGCTCAGGGCTTAGTTGTGGCCCCACACTCAGGAATCACTCCTGGCAGTGCTCAGGGGACCGTAAGGGGTGGCGAGGGTCAGAACTGGGTGGCTGTGTACAAGGCCGTTAAACTACTGCTCTGGCCCCTAGGATTTCTGTTGTGTTTTGATAGTCTTTCTGTTCTAGTTTACATTGAAGTTAGCTTAGGTCTATCATTTTATTTCATTTAATTTTTATTCTGGGGCATTCGGAACCACACCTGGCGGTGCTCCGGGCTTATTTCTGGCTCTGTGTTCGTGGATATGAGTTGGGCATCAAACCGGGGCTGACTTCATGCTAGGGAATTGCTTTGACTCCTGTATTATCCGTCTGGTTCCCAGTGAGTCGGATTTTTTCGGGGGGCTGGAATGTAGGGGCAACACCCAGGCAGTTCTCAAGGCTTACTCTTGGCTCTGTGCTCAGGGACCACTCACTCCTGGTGGGGTTATGCACCATTTAAATTGCATGCATTTAAAACTCTGAACGTCCTTGGTTTTTCTATCTAGTAGATTTGTTTAATTATAACGTATTATCATAAACTTGATTGAATCAGTGCCCTGTGAATCTGGTTTATCATGTAAAAATATCAGCTGGGAAGAACTTTGTCGCAACTACAGCGGAGAAGAGGACTTGACAACTAATAGGCATTATTTTGTGACCAGCTAATCAGTCTGTCACTTGTTTCATCAAACCTATTTTCTATTTTCTTTGCTCATAGCTACAAGTGCATTCATCAGAGTTTGGAGGATAATAATCGATGTCCCAAATGTAACTATGTTGTGGATAATATCGACCATCTGTATCCTAATTTCCTGGGTGAGTCTTTGGAATGATCTTTGTATTTTTTGAAGTAGTCTCTCCCCCAAAGTGTACGCTGGCAATAATTGATTCAGTGGACCTAGCTTAGAGGTAAGCAAATCTGTCTCTTTTGACTCACCAGGGTGCTTTTCCCAGTCTTCCTAGGTTGTGACAGAAATTCTATACCATATGTTGTTAGTACCATATGATAATTATTTTTAAGCTTCCAAAAAGAAGAGACACCACTCTTCCCCAGATGGCTGGACAGAATGTGAGATCGAAGGAGCCGCCAGAGGTCTGGAACGCCTCCCCCACCCCCCTCTGACGCTCTCTCCCCCCTCCCTCTCCCTCACTTCCCCTCTCCCCCCCTCCCCTCTTCTCCCCGCCCTGCCTTGCCGTCAGTGCTGCCGCATGGGCAGAAGAGAGAAGCACCAAATGATCGGGAAAACGACTCAGATCTGGGACGTCTGCTCTGGGGGCCGGGAGGATGCGATCAGAGGCTGATCTGGGGAGGTGACGGGGAAAGTTTGGCAGTGAGAAAGACGGTCGTTGCCCGCAGGACTCCGGAGCCACGGAATGGATATTGTGGACGTCTAGGCAGAAAATCTGGTCAGGGAGCAGATGTGAGGGTGGGGGGGATGTCACATCTGGTGGTGCTCGGGAATTCCTCTGTACCGTCACGCCAGACCCATAACATACAGCGATTCTGCATGTTGAGACGTTTAAGATGATGTGGGAAAGCCCTGGTGTGAGAACTTTCGTTTTTTGTGTTTTGGAGCTCCCTCCTCGCGTGCTGGTCACGCATTCTACCATTGAGCTATCCTGCTGGCTTCTGAGTTAGGGCACAGATCAGATTTCGGAAAATGGATGGTCAGATACGGGCAGGAATCCATCGGTCAGAACCGGATCACGTGTTCGCCGCAGTGCTGGGGTGAATGACGGTCCTTGTGTAGGCTGGTTCAGAGTCAGCCCGGGAGCTGCCGGTGGGCTTTATTTAGCTCCTGAAACGGGGCAGTCTGACCCTGGGCATCAAGTCATCCTGAAAATCCATTAGGATGTGTTTGGGTGGGTGTCTGCTTAGAGAGTTCTACAAACACACACACACACACACACACACACACACAAGAAGAATGATGTCCTCGGTGTGTGTATTATAGAATAGTGTCTGATGTCACCCAGGGAAACCTCTGTAAGTGCCTTCCTCTGGGCATTGAAAACGGTTTAAGAAAGAGCATATTCTGAAGCATTGTTTTGTTGTCATAATAATCCTTTTCCACACATGGTTTTGGGGCCCCACGCAGTGGTGCTCAGGGCTTCCTCCTAGCTCGGAGGGACCCTGTGGGGTGCCTGGGATTGAACTTGGGTCAGCCACGTACGGAGCAAGTGTCCTCCCTCCCTGCTGGACGATCTCTCTGGCTCTTGTACTAATAGTAATTACGGGAAGTAGTAGCTACGGCTCATCATGGGCTTCTGGTTTGAAATGAAGCACCTCGCTTCATTTTATTTATTTATTTTTGGCTAGGCACCTTTTAATTTTTTTTTTTTTAAAAAAAAAGCTCCAATAGACGCTCATCTCAACAGAACAATTAGATTATGTGGTTGATGAAAAAATGCCAATCACCTCTGCTTTCTGTTTTTTGTTTCAGTCAATGAGCTTATACTCAAGCAGAAGCAGAGATTTGAGGAAAAGAGGTTCAAGTTGGATCACTCAGTGAGTAGCACCGTATGTTTCAACTCTTTTTTTACTATTTTGAAAACATATCCATGTGGTGGGGCCGGGGTGGGGGGTGGTTTAATAGTGATGTTAAAGCGTTGTGCGCCTTAGTGGACTTTTCTCGAGGGGGGTTTGTGTAGAATACTTTTTATTCAGTGAATATTCTTAACTATTATTTTAAAAATGTACTGATCGTCTTTGGAAAAGTCTGGTGGAATCTCACTGGGTCAAGGTCTTGGAATAGTTGCCCTTGAAAGGATTCTGCGGCAAGGTGGAACTAGGGGTGGTAGTTGGGAATTTTCTGAAGGTTTCTCAGCTGGACAGAACCAGCTCCTAATCGAGGCAAGTGAACATAAGTTGGGAGTGTTTTTCTAATACAGAGACAGTGAATGCGTAGACATGTGTGGAAAGTCTAACTTGAAGGCAGTAGTCGCCTGGGAGGAGGAGATTAGAACAGCGCGGTTCTTCCGTAGCTGTGCAATAAACATGTTCACTATCACTATCGCCCCATTGTTCATCGATTAGCTCGAGCGGGCGCCAGTAACGTCTCCTTTCGCTCCTGTCAGGTGCCAATTTAGCCCAGTGGCATACTGGGGGCTCTTTCAGGGTCAGAGGAATGAGGACCATCATTGTTACTGTGTTTGGCATATCGAGTACGCCACGGGGAGCTTGCCAGGCTCTGCCGTGCGGGCGGGATACTCTCTGTAGCTTGCTGGGCTCTCCGAGAGGGATGGCGGCTTTTGGGGCAGCCTCTAATCGCCTTTACAGGTGTTCCCTGTCAGGCATATATGCAGGCAGCAGACTCTCGGTAGCCTGCCGGGTTCTCTGAGAGTGAGAACTAGATAACGAGAGGTTGCGCGGCCACAAATGTGGCCGCGTGCTTCTGGGAGCTCGGTTTTATAATCTCGGGATTCTGGCCGTTGATGGGGTTACCTGGCAGTTGTCTAAAGTCACACATTATAACACGTGTAATAAACATGTTAGCAAGTGCAGATGTGGGCTTGTCTGAGCCTGGGGAAGACCGCCACTTGCTGAAGTTGCTGAGTTTCTTCTCTTTTTCAGAACGGCCACAGGTGGCAAATATTTCAGGATTTACTGGGAACTGACCAAGATAATCTTGACTTGGCCAACGTCAACCTCATGTTGGAGCTGCTGGTGCAGAAAAAGAAACAGCTGGAAGCGGTGCGTGACCTTGAATTTGCATTTCATCACATTGGAGACGATCTAGGTAGAGGGAGAAATAACGGGACGGTTGGCAGGAATCGCGTGCACATGTCGGGCGTGCCGAGGGCTTCTCGTCATGTTTTTGGTGTTAGGGCTGAACCCCAGTCTCGGTTGTGAGGAAGCACTGTGTCATTCAGGGATTGAGCCCAGGAACTGAACCTGGGCACCCGTTCTCCCTCACGGCCTCTCCTCAGCCCTGTTTCCGTTGTATCGGGGACGTTGGTCATTGCTTGTCTTTTCTGGATTTCTTCCTGGCCACACCGTCTCCTCCTCACACATGCGATTTGGAGGGAAGAGAGAGGCACAGTTGAGGGGCAGGGGAGACGGCGCAGAGGCTTCAGTTTCTTTCCAGGCCTTGTGTGATTATCCGAAGACAGAGTTGGGAGCAGTTCCCTAGAGCAAGCACTACTCCGTCTGACCCCCAAAGAGTCACACCCTCCCCCCACCATAGAAAAAAAAAACAGTTGGAATTTTTGAATTTCTGATCCCCTTCTATGGAGCAGGTGATTCACTCTTCTATTTTGAGAAAAACGCTGACATTTCCCCCACTGGTGATAGTTTAAGGAGAGTCTCTTTGGGGAGCACAGAGGCACTGAAAAGTGTGTTTGCTGTGTGGGCCACCGTACTGAAGACCCAGGTGTGGACCGATTATGAGAACTTAATTTCCTCCACCGTTTTTCCCTTCTCTTGCTGCGAAAACTCTCTCCTCTTTTTTTAGCCTTATGACTTGGAATCGAACAAAGACAGGGATCTTAACTGTGGATTGCCAAGTCTTTTCCTTTTTCTCTTTTTGCTTTCTGGGCGATGCACAGGGGTCAAATCCTGTCTCTGCACTCAGGAATCGCCCCTCGTGGGGCTCGGGGGACCCTATGGGAAGCCGGGGATCGAACCCGGGTCAGCTGCATGCAAGGAAAACACCCTCCCCGCTGTGCTGTGGCTCCAGCCCCTCATCTCAATTCTTTTTAAGGCATTTTGTTTTGTTTCCTTTTGGGGGGCCACACCCGGCGGTGCTCAGGGCTGACTCCCGGCTCTGCACTCAGGAATCACTCCTGGCGGTGCTCTGGGAACCCTGTGGGATGCCGGGGATCAAACCCGGGTCGACCACGTGCAAGGCAGACGCCCTCCCCGCTGTGATACTGCTCCAGCCCCCTGCAAAGTCTTTCTTGAAAAAAGAATTTGAACTTGTGGAGTGATGGTTCAAGTGGGTAGGGTGTCCGCCTTGCATATGGCCAGCCTAGATTTGATCCACAACCCCTCGTGTGTTCCCTCAAGCCCGCCAGAAGTGATCCCTGAGTGCAGAGGTAGGGGTGAGCCCTGAGCACTGCTGAATGTGGCTGGAAAACAAAGCTAAAAACAAAAACTGGGTTTTTTTTGGCTCTCTCAGCTTCTTTCGATGCTCGCTGGGGGAGGGGGACTGCGTCCCGGTTTTTTGGGGGTGTTCACACACACGTGGCTCTAATACAGCTGGACACTGTGGTGCTGTTGTTCACCGACCGCTGAGCTGCCAGGCTCACAGTGCAGCGTGGCCTTGAAAGCCTTGGGCACCGTCGGTACCCCGGGGATTTGAACTCCTGCCCATACATCTGCTCAGCTCAGAGCCCTCCAAGCCCAGGAGAGGGGATCTTAGGGTCTAACCTCCCGCTGTGATTTTTGTGTGATACTATTTGGCTGGAGCGATAGCACAGCGGGTAGGGTGTTTGCCTTGCACGCAGCTGACCCGGGTTCGATTCTTCCGCCCCTCTCGGAGAGCCCGGCAAGCCACTGAGAGGATCCTGCCTGCCGCCTGCATGTGGCAGAGCCTGGCAAGCTCCCCGTGATGTGTTCGATATGCCGAAAATGGTAACAGCAAGTCTCACAATTTGTTGTGAGACGTTACTAGTGCCCGCTCGAGCGACTCGATCAGCAACGGGTGGACAGTGCGACAGTGCTACTGTTTGGCTGGGAATGAGCGGGGCTGGGTAAGAGTAGATAAACAGAGTAGATGAACTATAATTCCTACATAGTTCTATAAAGGAGTTAATTCATAGGAGTGTCATTTGAAATAATGTTTCGGGGCTGGAGCCATAGCACAGCAGGGACAGTGTTGGTTTTGCACGTGGCTGACCCGGGTTCGATTCCCAGCATCCCAGAGGGTCCCCCGAGCACCGCCAGGAGTGATTCCTGAGTGCAGAGCCAGGAGTGAGCCCTGAGCATCGGCTGGGTGTGACCCAAAAGGAAAAAAAAAAAAATTGGGGCTGGAGTAGTAGCACAGCGGGTAGGGCATTTGCCTTGCATGCGGCTGACCTGGGTTCGATTCCCAGCACCCCACATGGTCCCCCAAGCACCGCCAGGAGTGATTCCTGAGTGCAGAGCCAGGAGTAACCCCTGAGCATCGGCTGGGTGTGACCCAAAAAGCAAAAAAAAAAAAAAAAGTTTCTTAAAACTAGTTCTAGTACTATTTCACAGTGATTCAATAAAATAAAAATAAAAAATCAACTAGTTTTAGTTGGTTTGGGGGAAAATGCCTTATGTTCAGAAATGCCAGTTAACAAATGGGAAAGCTGAATACATAGACGTAATGTATACAACTGTATTGTACCGGCTGATGGTGGTGTTAAAAAAAAATGAACTGTTAGAATTTGAAAGAACAATAATGATTTTCTATTTTAGGAATCACATGCAGCCCAACTGCAGATCCTCATGGAATTCCTCAAGGTTGCCAGAAGAAATAAGAGAGAGGTATATTTAATATATTTTACAATATGTTTTGATGACTGTTAATGACTGTTTCCATTATGTTCATTTGTATAACGGGTCTCAGGCCTAAATAATTTAAACGTTTTATTTCATTCTTTTTAGAAAGTAGAAAAAGCTTATTGGAAAGTAGAAGAGAAAGGAAAAGTAACTATATGGGGAGGAACTGAGGTGTAGGACTTAATTTAAACGTTTTGAAGGTATTTGAATTTCCAGTTTTTCTTAAGCTTTGTTCTTTTAATTCTGACACTGTATGACTTGATATTTTAAAAAGTTCTTTCTGGGGGCATGCGGATTATAAAATGACTTAGCTCAGAGCTATAATGAATAGAAACTAATTATTAAATGACATCTTATCTCCGCCTGAAAGACATCTTAGGGACTTAGTAAAATTTTTGTAGCGAGGGTTACCCTGGCTAGTTGCTTTGGGGGAGTGGGGGCTCCGCTACAGTGCTCACGAGGTCCGGGGCCGACTTTCACCGACACTTGACCGGCTGGGCCAGATGGCTCCGAAAAAGGGCCTGAGGATGTGGTGCTGACTACAAGCGCTCTGATGCTGGGGTCCATCCGGGAGGGCCGTCTGGGGGGGGGGCTTAGAGGGTCTTCACACTGGGCAGATGCAGGATCCCCCCTCTCTGTGCTCTATTCCCGGCCTCACACTTAAGCGTTTTTCTTTTTTTTTCTTTTTTTTTTTTTCTGCTTTTTGGGTCCCACGCAGCGATGCTCAGGGGCACCTCCTGGCTCTGCGCTCAGGGATCACCCCTGGCGGTGCTCAGGGGACCCTATGGGATGCTGGGAATTGAACCCGCGTCGGCCGCGTGCAAGGCCAACGCCCTACCCGCCGTGCTATTGCTCCAGCCCCTTAAGCGTTTTTCTTGAGGGGAAATGCATACTGGGACAAGCAAGGCCAACACTAGAGAAATGTTTGGGAATGAAAACTCCGCCTCACGCAGGAGAACTAGTAAAATAGTTGTTTACGATGAATGAGCACATCAGTCAGGTGAATCCGTTTCATAGCCAGAATGCTCTACTAGGATGTGAAATTCTGATTTTTTTTTTTTTTTTTTTGCTAAAAATTCTTCAGTCCCTTCATACTTGTACAGAATTTGGGGAAATTGTAGAGCAGTTATCTGTTTTCTTGGTATTAAGCTAAAATAACTTTGGAAACGACTTTATGCGTAAATTCCTGTCTCAAAACTGTGCTAGAGTGATAGTACAGCGGGTAGGGTGTTTGTCTTGTATGCAGCTGACCTGGGATCGATCCCTGGCATCCCATGTGGTCCCCCAAGCACCGCCAGGAGTGATTCCTGAGTGCGGAGCCAGGAGTGACTCCCGGGCATCTCTGGGTGTGACCGAAAACGCAAAAAAAAAAAAAAAGCTATTTTTATTTTGCGTGTCATCCTTGCGCAGGGGCCATGCTAATCTTCTCTGTATCGTTCCAATTTTAGTATATGTGCTGTCGGAGAGCCCGGCAAGCTACCGAGAGTATTCGATATGCCAGACACAGTAACAACAAAGTCTCCAATGGAGACGTTACTGGGCCCGCTCGAGCAAATCGACGATCAACGGGAGGGCCTTTACCTTTACCTTTATTTTTATTTTGAGTTGTCTAAGGATACGTCTAATTAATTTTTTTTATGTGCTATGTTCTTTTTAAAATAACTTGATGAGGTTAGAGCAATAGCCCAGCGGGTAGGGCGTTTGCCTTGCACGCGGCCGACCGGGGTTCAATTCCCAGCATCCCATAGGGTCCCCCAGGCACCGCCAGGAGTAATTCCTGAGCCAGGAGGAACCCCTGAGCATTGCTGGGTGGGACCCAGAAAGCAGAAAAATAAAATAAGTTGATGGATGGTTTAATTTTGATGAGTAACTTGCATTGCCAGGATATTCTGTTTTCTGAATTTATCACTACTCCTTTTTTGATTATTCATTCTTTATTTTATTTGGAGGACAGATTGCTTCACTTGGTGGCGCTCAGAGCTTACTCCTTGCTCTGTGCTCAAGAATCACTCCTGTGGATACTTGAGAAAACGTATGTGGTGGTGCGAACGGAACCGGGTTTGGCCACATTTGAGGCAAAAACCACAACCCCTGAGCTCGCTGAGAGGAGATTCATAATCAAACCTAAGCAGTCGTTTGATTATTGATTATGAACGTGTAAATGAAACAGTTTGAGTGAACGGTCCAAACATGATATTTCCCTATTTAAGGCTTTCATAAGCCTTAGGCCTTTTGATGTTTTTGAAGTCTTTTTTTTTTTTTTTTTTTTTTGCTTTTTGGGTCACACCCGGCGATGCACAGGAGTTACTCCTGGTTCATGCACTCGGGAATTATTCCTGGCGGTGCTCGGGGGACCATAGGGGATGCTGGGAATGGAACCCGGGTCGGCCGCGTGCAAGGCAAACGCCCTCCCCGCTGTGCTATCGCTCCAGCTCCTGAGGAGTCTGTTATTATTTAGAACGGATTTTTTAGATTGAACAGGAACTCGGCAGACCGACAGCTGTCAAGAGAACGACAGCCCTCGTGCTTGCCGTGCATATGGCCAGTCACCTTTAGATTCCCAGCACCACACATGCTCTCCCCCAAACCCCTCTGCTCGTGATCCCTGAGCACTGAGCCAGGAGTACGCCCTGAGCACTTCTGGGTGAGTCTTAAAAGCCAAATAAACGAAATAAAAAGTAGTGCTTCTGAAATCTGCCCTGCCCCGCGAAGCTGACAGGCTGGCTTATGTTGCCACAGCTCTGGGTGCCGCCAGGAGACAAAAGGGCCATGAGACAGGCCTCCCTGCTCGTGCCTGTCGGTTCCCTGGCCTTCCCTGCACGTCGGGTGCGCCGCCTTGGTGGCCGCCGCACCTGCAGCTATTGGTGTCAAAGAACCTCGAGCTTGGGGCTTGCTGGCAGACCTTCTGGTGCTTGCTTTGTAGGGAAACCCTTTGGATGTTGGTCCGAGAGTAACTGCCTTCTGTCCCTCAGGAAGTCGGGATTTTCCCCCCTTGCCAGGGCACAGGCTGTCTACACGTGCTTCGCTGGGATTTTTCTGTTAGACTTCTGAGTTGATTTTGCCGTTCATCTTGTTATCTTGACTTTAGTTTGAGTCTCCCATGATCCTTTGGGAACCCAGCCAAGAAACTTTTTGTTTTGAGCCAGCGGTGCTCTCCCAGCAGTGCTCAGGGCTGACTCCTGGCTCTGTGCTCTGGGATCACTCCTGGGGGTGCTTGGGGCACCCGGTGGCGTGCTGGGGATTGAACCCGAGTGAGCTCCTATTTCTCCAGCCTAGGTCAATAAACTTTTAAAATTATCTGTTACTTTGATTCTGGGCTGGAGCGATAGCACAGCGGTCGGGCATTTGGCTTGCACGCAGCCAGCCAGGCCGAGCCAGGTTCGATTCCTCAGCCCCTCTCGGAGAGCCCGGCAAGCTACCGAGAAAGCTACCTGTGACGTATTCAATATGCCAAACGCAGTAACAACAAGTCTCAAAAATGGAGACGTTACTGGGCCCGCTCGAGCAAATCGATGAACAACGGGAGGACAGGACAGGACAGGACTTTGATTCTATTTCATAAATTTCTATGTGATTGAGTATAATAGCAGTGATTCATAACCATATTAGTCTAGAAAATATAGTTGATTAATAGCTAACTCATTTAGTGCAGATAGAATGAAGTGTGTAGTTACATATTTTTGTTTAATTTTTATTTCTTTTTTTGCTTTTTGGGTCACACCCGGTGATGCACAGGGGTTCCTCCTGGCTCTGCACTCAGGAGTTACTCCTGGCGGTGCTCAGGGAACCCTAAGGGATGCTGGGATTCGAGCCCGGGTCGGCCGCGTGCCAGGCAAACGCCCTCCCCGCTGTGCTATCGCTCCAGCCCCTACATATTGTTTTTAAAGGTCTTAATCTGTCGTGTAATTTATACTAGTATACTTTGAATTCATTTAAATATAAAACAAAAACAATAATAAAAAGTAAAGCGAGTACAGACAAACCCAAAGACACCCTGTTTTTAAATTTAATTTTCTAAGTTTAATTAACACACAGTCTTTGAAAGCTAAATTCCAGTTGGGGTGTGATGAGTCCTGGTTCAGGTACTGGTACCCACCAATCAAACAAGTTTGCTTTTCCCGTTTATCACGTTTCGTTGTTGGCACTTCTCCACTAGTAATTTGGGCTATTAAGAATTACACACTTCACTTCCTTTTTCCCTGGTGAGGACTGTATAATGTCTGAGGCCCACAGCAACCCCTTACGCTGGTCATGTGTTGCTCGCAACTTACCCTCTCGTGACTTAAAACTTTCACTGTCCCGGGTGGGCAGTCTTGGTGCAGTCTCTGTGACCCAGTGCTTTGGGCTCAGCATTTCTCACTGTGCCACGAGCACGGTGTTGGGCTGACGGCAGTAATCTCCAGGTCAGACTAGGAACCCAGCCAGCTCACTTCCTGGTCGTTGGAATGAGAATCCGGCTTCTTGCTGCGGGGGTGTCTTTTGCAGGCTAGTTGACGTCCGCCTGAGAGTTTGTCTGAAAGTAAGAGAAGGCGTGGGTGCTGTGGACGTCACGCATTTGGGTGCCTTAGTCTCGGGACCTGTTCCCTAGGTCTGGCCCCCACGCAGAGGGGCAACTCCAAAGAGGTGAGGACCTTTGGAAATGATCTTAGAGCCTGCCCACTACCGCCCTCCGAGAATGCAGGTACTTAGAGGAATGGGCTCCTCCCTTTCTTCACAGTTACATTGAACCGAAGGGCTTCAGGGGCCGTGCAGAAGAGTTCTGTCTGAGAATTTGCCCCGGCAGTTTGAACCCCTGTCTTTCATTTCATTTCCAAATACTTGGGAGCGGTTTGGTGACTGCTTAATGTTTTAGGACAGTTTTGATCAGTTTTGATGAGTGTTCTGGGGTTGCTCAAGGAAGGATTGGACAGGTCAGCCGCATGCAAGGAACATGCCCTAGGCCCTTCGCTATCTTGTGGGCCCTTAAAAAGTTCTTAGCAAAACTACAGTGGAACCTATAGCATGACCATCATTTAATCACTGTCCCAATTAAACAGGTCATTCGTAAGACCCCCTCGAGTCCCTTGGCTGTCCTTTCCAGATTATCACCGCCTCAGCTGGTCATCCTCCTTAATACTTTCGCTGGTCATGTTCCCGTTGGTCTTTATCTTAGTCCCAGTGTAAGTCAAGCTCTAGCTTTTGAATTTACATCAGTGTACTTCTGGAGTGTCCAGTTGCCTGTCCTTGATTCAGTGTTGAGTGTATATCGTTCTATATGACTGTAGTTGATTTTCTGTGTTCATATAGTCGGAGAGTTTGTGAAAGAATATTATCCCCCGTTTTTAAAAAAAATATATGATTTAGTGATGGACCTTCAAATTGTTTTGTTGAGGAGCGTCCACAAGCCACGCAGTTATCACATACAAGCGCGCACACATCTCCAGGTGAGACAGGTACAGCATGTGAATGGTGTCCTTGCAGAGGGAGGGTTCAGGGGTCATGGGCATGCATAGCTCCAAAGTTAGGCGCTAAGACCAAACTTGGCTTCCTCCTTAGTGCAAATGTTCCTGGTTTTGTTAGTTGGGTTTTGTTGGGGGTGCCGGGAATCGAACCCGGGATGTGGACTGACTCCCGCGTGTGAGGTGAGCGTGTGCTTGCTCCAACCCCTCACCCTCTCCCCGGACTGGCACTGGGGTCTTGCTGCCAGTTGCCTTGCCCCAGTTTTGCCAATCTTGGGCTAGGATTGCTGTCTCTGTGGTTCTAATTTGCATTTCCAGGCAGCCGGGAGCTTAAGCCTTTGGCGCTGTTCTGTTGGCCAAGGCATTCGTTCGTTGCTTCACAAATGCTTCCACCTTTTCTCTTTCGTTATTTAATGATTTGCTATTTATTTATATCTGTTAGAATGCTCTACTTCTCTGTCACAAACTATTCCCCCCCCCCCAGCTACTTTTCCATTGTCTAATTATGTCCCCTGATTAGCAGATGTTTCTGTCAATTACAGTGTCAAATTTATTTGTCTTTCTTGCTGTAATGATGCCTTCGTCAGGTGAAGAATTCTTCCCCTCAGGTCCTAAAGACAATCTGCTGCATATTAAATCTACTGACAACTTTCTTCCTTTATCTTTCACATTCAAAACATAGTCTGCTAGGGAACGTACCTCTGTGTAGCAGTGTGGGGACTTTCTGGAGTGGCATTTGTTTGAGTGTCTTGAATTAGAGTTTATCCTTTCTGGATGCTCTGACGTATCACCTTTGTTCTTTGTTTTATATCATACATTGTTGTACGCACACACACACACACACACACACACACACACACACAGAGCCATATTTCTCAGCTCCCTTTTTTGGCTTTGCTACTCTTTTTGTCTGTTGTTTTCGCTTTTCAGCCATACCCAGATGTGCTCAGGACTCACTCCTGATTCTGTTCTCAGGATTCCTGGTGGTGCTGAGGGGATCATATGCCAGAGATTGAACCCGGGTCAACTCCG